TTTAGATAAATCCTCTTCCTCATCTTTCTTAGTTTGGTCGCCCTTCTCTACTTTGATAGTCACTGGCATATCATCGAGTTCCATATGTTTTTTTCAGTATTCTCCTTAGTCTCACACAAAGTCCCACTAATCTTTTCATGCAACGCTCTCTGCTATTCTGCCCTACAATGCAATAGTGCCAGGGCTACAACTCTTGGTACAAATGCCATTACAAGGCTTAATTGAGGTACATCCAAAACACACAGGTTAGTGCTCTCGAGAATATATACTTTTAGCTTGGATAAGTGGGATGGAATGCTATATGGGGTAGGGTCAAAGGCAATAGAAAGTGTGTAGGTAAGGTTAACATTTGGAGGTAGGGGAATTCAGGCATAGTTTGAAAGTGGATTGTTTTTGACATTTAGCTTTTGGGAAGAAACAATAGTTTGTTGTCTATAAGGTCTTGGATCTAATGGCGGAGGCAAAAGCATCGGTCGGTATCATGACCGTATTGCTGGTGAAAGGCACATAAATGAGTTAGGTCATGTTTTGCTAGGAGTGGGCCAGGAAGTGGTCATGGATCAAGGAGTTTGAGATGTCCCTTGTACAAAAGGATTTTCATGGCTCGGGTTAGACTCATTTACAAGGGATGGAAGACTTAATTTTGGGCTCGGGTTGACTAGTGTTTGGTTAAGTGATGTTAGCGAATGGGTTAGCAGTTTGAGTTGGCAGTTTCATGTTGGGTAGTCATAGAATTGACCTCGATAGCTTTGGTGGTACCACAAACACAAGGCTTCTTCACAAAATATGTTTCTTCTACTATCAATCCCTGGTCCTCAATCTGAACTCCGATCTCATGTAAGTCCATGAATTTGAATAGTGGTAAAACTATCATCCGTTGCGTGAGTCGACCTTGCAAATTTCTAACCACTGTGTGGACTTGGTCTTTCTTCGTGGGCTAGTTAGTCATTCTAGCGGCATTGCTTCTTCAGGAAGTGACAAAGTCTCTAAATTTCTCCTTGGGTTGCTGTTGTGTTGCCTCTAATTCCCGGGTGGTAACCTTACTTTCTGTGTTATAAGAATACTAGGGCATAAAAGACTCAACCAACTCTCTCCAATATCTCTATACCTTGTCCTCTAGCCTTGCTTACCAGGTGTTTGCAGCCCTTGATAGGGTTTTACCAAATAGATAGAGCTTTGCATACCAGGTGGTGCACTCGACAGTTCAAAACCCCCTGTCTGGTTTCACGAGTACAATGTGAAACAAAATGAGAGTCCGAATCTAGTGAATCCATAGAAAACCACTAATCACAAGAAATACCAAAAATAGACTACATCACCAGATTCAGAGTCACCACCTAATCTTTTTGGGAAAACTAGGAAACCCTGAGTCGTGCCAAAGGCCACATAGTCTGTCGTAATCCAAGTGTCTCAGCTCGGGAGTTTAGGTATGAGAGGGGAAGGTTATGAATTGAGCACTCTCACTCATCCGATCAAAGATCAACCTCTACTAATTCTTGATATGAGACTTATTAACACAATATGATCATATAACCCAATTATTAATGTTAACTTCACAACGTATAGCATACAAGTATAGACCAACTCACCTATATTGGAATGTGCTAATCTCTCGTTATTTGAAAAGGTTTGAAAGAAGAAATCTAATGAAAAATTGAGGTAACTAGAGCGCAAAGAGATCAGAAGCATTCCAACTTAGGCAATGAGACCTCCATTCAAGAGCAATCTTAGAGTTATAGGAAATAAGATTGGAATTGTGATGTAATTCCTCATTTTCTCTCTCCCAAACACTATTAATTGCAGTAAATTTTTACTTTCTTAGTTGATTAAAGGGCTTATATAGTTGATTCTAGCCCAATCCTTTCGTTGTTTGTATTATCTGCTTTATTTTATGTTTCCAAACATTAATTGTTTGCTTCGTTTTCTCTGATTTTCTTAGAAGCCAAACAAGTGCTTCGTTTTCAAAAAGGGTTGGAAGCTCTTCTCTCAATCCATTTGAACATGGAATTAGACATTTATGTCTATTTTCCATGATGTAGAGAATGAGCCTTCCCTTAATTTTGATGAGTTCCATTAGTTGTAGTGAGTAGTATATCTTCTCTTTATTTTTTAGCATTTTCTTTCACTTTTTCTTTCACTTTTTCTTAACTATTCTCTCTTATTTTCTTAGAAGTCAAACAAATGATTCCTCTTTGAAAAGAGTTAGAAGCTCTTCTCTTAATCCACTTGAACATGGGTGTAGACATTCATGTCTGCTTTCCATGATGTAGAGAAGGAACTTTTACTTGTTTTCATAGAGTTTTAATTAATTTTAATGATTAGATTACTTTTCCTTTACTTTCTAGCATTTTCCTTCATTTTCTCATTACTTTCTCTTTCATTTTCTCTGAAGCCAAACATGACTTCCTCTTAGAAACGGTGTGTAATCTACCCTCTCCATCTACTTTAACATGGATTTGAGCATTTACATGTTCATTTCCATGAGTAAAGGTGTAGATTCATTCGCATTTCTTTAATTTTCTTTCATTACTTTACCTTCTTGTTTTATTTAGCTTCTATGTTTATCATGTGACTAATGGGAAGGGTTCATTCTCTCACGTTTCTTGTTTATGATGAGGAGAGCGAATACATTTCATTATTTTGGTTATTTTGATGATTAAAAGAGTCCATCCTCTTATGTTTGCTTCTATGATGAGGAAGACAGTTCCATTTTATTTTCTTTTATCATTAGATGATTGATGTTAGTTTCCATGATGAATATGGTGAGTTCATCTATCTCTTATTTATTTATGTTTGGTTCTACACCCTCTCTCATCTTTACTCTTATGATGATGAGAGGGAGTTTATTCATTGATATTATTGGATGGCTTATATGATTTTGGTGAGTTTCATTCTCTCAATCATTTCTTATGACGAAGGGGATAGATTCATCGTGTCTTGCTTCCATATGGCTTCTTGGTTTCTTGTAATTCTTAGCTTCCATTATTATTGATTTAGCTTCTTTTAATTCTTAGTTTCCATTATTATTGTTTCTTTGTTAGCTTCTTTTATTTTAGCTTCCATTATTATATTAGCTATTGCTTCCATTACTTTCTGAGGGTTGTTTCTTTCCTTAATAGCTTTGACGTTTGTTCTTCTCTCACTCTTATATCATTCTTATCTCTATATCCATTTTATATATTTTATACTTTCCATATTATTCTTAGCATGTTTTCTTTCTCATCATTACTCATGTTTTGCATTCATTTTTCATGCATATTGGGCTCTGTTCATTATGTTTTATGCTTCCATCATTTCTATGTGGTTTGTGCACACTCCATGTTTGGAATGATTCACATGACATATGGTAGTAACCGAGCTCATAGGTTCGTTTTTATGAGTGTTGTTGCATTAGTTCTTTTACATCTAGGATCATGCATGTTTTCTAACCTTTTTGAGTTTGGTTGGTGCTAATGAGTGCTAGGTGAGCTTTTTTATCTTTGCATCCCGTTTATGTATTCTTTCTTTACGATGTCTAGCATGTTACCATAAGGCTATGGGCTTACTTGAGATATCTCTATATTTGCTCACTGATTGGATGTTGTCTTACCTAAGTTGGAGTTGCCTTGATCTCTTTGTACATCTTCTTCTTTTGAGTTGCTCATCTCAAAACCTTTTCAAAATACAAGAGATCAAAGCGTTCCAAAGTAGGTGATTCAGTTTGTACTTGTTTGCTTCATCTAGTAAAGTTAGCATTAATAATCGAAATATGATTTTGGTAATAAATCTCATATCAAGAATTAGAAGAGGCTGATCTTTGATTGGGTGAGCAGGGGTGCTCAATTCACGACCTTCATCCTAATTCTTGAACCAAGACATTCTAGTTATGATGGACATTGGCTTTTATTTAGCACGAGTCAAGGTTTCCTAGTTTTTCCAAAAAGATTAGGTGACAACTCTGAATTTGGTTATGTAGTCCTTATTTGGTATTTCTTGTGATTAGTGAATATTTTCTTTAGATTTGCCAGATTTAGATCCTTACTTTCTTAACATTGCACATATTGTGAATGAGACGCTGAGGGTGAACTGTCGAGCCGACCAGATACCCTTTGGAGATCCCACACTAGGTCTTATATAAATTTATATCTTCCTAAGGGTTCGAGATGTAAAAAAAAAAAAAAGAAGAGGTGAAACGTTAAATATGAAAGATGAAATATCTTGAGAGAAAAGAGTTCTCTATGTTGTTATATATATTTATATATGTAGTTTACCTATTGTTTTGGACAATTATGTTTTGTGACTTGGTTCAAACGTCCTAGTAGTTGTAAACACTAGATGAGGGATGTTGTAAGCAACTTGGGTTTTATTTTGAAACTGCTTCACTTCAATTGCATCTTCGTGAGGGGAGGAAAAACAGTTTTAGGACAATAACAACGCGATTCCTAAATCTCATAGCTATGTTTCTCTACTCTTATTTTTTAGTCTATATATATATTATTTATTATCATTGTTATTATAATATTCATGCTAAATGTTCTACTAATTATATTGCTAAACTAACAAATATCCCAAATCAATAATCTCGAAGACAACAAACAGCTCCCAACGAGTATTAATAGCTTACAAAGTTTCCTTTGATGACTCAAAGTAACCTCAAAATAAGAAAAAGACAACCACTACCGTTGTTGCTATCAATTTCGTTTATCACCTATGATGAAAAAGTTTCCCTCAGCACCAAACAAGATAATAAACCCCCGAATCAACACCCAACACCAAATTAGCAACTTTATTCAACATAATAAGTAAAAATAAACTTGCAAGCACAAGCTTATACCAGACTATAGATAACTTTATGAACACTCAAGAGTATGACAAAGCATGTGCCTCTATGTATTTAACAAGTTGGCTTCTGTAGTGTGAGTTGAGATGAAGAAAGACTATGGAGCATAAGAATGCCACAGTATATGATGCTCCAAAGCTCCAGTAAAACATGAGTTTGAATGAGTCATCTTCTACCAGTTCTAAAGACGGTGGAGCATGATGGTCAGTGTTGGTACAACGTTTCTTCGAGGCTCTCCACAAAGAAAAATGTTTCCTTCATAACTACTTTTGTCAAATGTTGCAAATTGAGCCTGCCTCTGTGGTGTTCTACCAGATAAGTTGTTGTAACTGACTTTGAAGAATGACAAGAAGGTTAACTCTATCAATTGTGAAGGAATTTGACCACTCAACCTATTGTGAGATAGGTCCAAGCTCTGTATTTGCTTTAGGTTGGAAAATGTCTCTGGGATTACGCCAGTCAATTGGTTGTATGAGAGGTTCAATGTAATAATCCAACTTAGGTTTCCAATTTCAGAAGGAACTTGACCAGTTAGATTGTTACAAGAAAGATCTATTCCAGACATGAAGTACAAGACATTTCCCATGTAGGTTTCATACCTGCTCTTTGTTAGAAACCCCACTCCTTCAGCCTCATAAAATGTATAATATTCTAAATAATAATCCAACGCCTTTATAGGAAGTTGAGTTTTGTATGAGTTTACAAACAGAGACCTATTTTGGTCTTTGATAGAAAATGGACCATCCAATGTTCTTCTCCATCCAAAAGTGATATCTTTCAAGCAAGGTGGAATGGATCCAGAAAAATGATTATGAGAGAGATCCAATATGCTTATGTTTTTTAGTTGACACAAATGGATAGGAATGAGACCATCAAGATTGTTACCTTTCAGGAGCAGGATCCTCAAATTTGACACTGAAGTGATCCGCTTAGGAATTCCACCAGATAATTTGTTGTCCCTCATATCTAATGTTACTAAGGAACAAGCTTTAGATATAAAAATTGGTATAGTTTCCCTAAAATCATTTCTTTGCAAATGTAGGTAATTCAAGGACAGCATATTTGCACAAGGAGGTATGGTTGGGCCAATATTGTTATGAGAAAGGTCAACATAGCGAAGTTCATTCAACTTGCAAAATTCTATTGGTAGTGGACCTTCCAAAGAATTTTTGGACATTATGAGAAAAGTTAAAGAGGGAAAGTTTTTTATCCAACTAGGAATTTTCCCAAACACTCCGTTATTGCTAATATCTAGCAATTCCAATTTCGAGCTATTTAAAAGTCTGGGTGAGAGCTCCCCTGTGAAGTTATTGTTGTCCAAATACAAAAACTGTGGCTTTGCAAGGTTTGCATTGATAGGAAGTATTTGGCCATGCAAATTATTGTATGAAAGCTTTAAAATTGTCAATGATTTGCAACCACTAGCTAGATGCTCTGGGACTTGTCCATATAACTTATTGTTGGACAAGTCTAAAGAAAATAACCCTCTCATATCACCCAATGAAGAAGGGAAATTACCGTGCAATACATTTTTGGATATTTTCAAGAAGTACAAATTTGGAAGCACAGAACCAATATAAGATGGAAGTTGTCCATCGAGAACATTGTAGGAGGCATCAAGCAGTCATGTTGACATTGTATGAATTAGGATGAAAATCAAGACGCCCACTGAAGAAATTTGCTTTAAGGTATAGGAATTCCAATCCTGTATTATTTGCTAACAACCAACTTGGGAACTTTCCTCTCATGTTGTTGTGGCCAAGGTCAACAATTTTCAAGTCATATTGATTTAAGAGAAAGCTTGGTATAGTTCCATGTGGCTCGTTGAGAGTACAATTTGATAACTGGAGGAAGGAACATACGTGGGATCTCTGTCTCCACCCTTAAAAGATTGTTATGACTTGCAAGTTTAAAGACCACTAGTATGGAGTTGTTAGCAAGTGAGCTGAATGAGAACAAGCCTTCAAAAAGATTTTCAGAAAGAGAAACATACTCAAGTGACTTGAGACTAAAGAAGAGGGTTGAAGGAATAGTTCCATTGAAATTGTTTTTCGAAAGTTCAAGTGAACGGATGGATGTCAAATTGCAGAGACATGGAGGAAGCTTTCCCTCTAGGCCACATGCAGAAAGATCCAACTCTTCAAGGTTCTTCAATTTGCACATGCCTGCAAAAATGAACAGTGCAAGTTCTGTGATTATTGTTGCAAAGTTCTTAGATCTAGACGTATTTAATTTTCACTAAGAGCGTGACATAAATATGGAAAAAATTACCAAATGCTAAGAGCTAGTAGCCAAAACGAGAACACATAATTTTTTTTTTTCCTTTTATTGGACATAGATTGGAATTCTTAATTGATCTAATGTTTAGTAGATTCCATGCTCAAGATACAAAATACTAATTATAATAATAATGACTTTTAAATCCAAATGCAAACATGTTCATGATCTTATAAGCCCATAAAACATGAGAATTTATTCACATCATCGAACACTTACAATAATTGTTTTGAATTACGTTCAACTGGCCACAAGCCATTTAGTTTATTGTCTGCTAAAGATAAGGTCTTAAGAGAGGTGAGGCGTGCAATAGAGGATGCAATCTCACTGGTAATCAAATTATTGCCCAGCTTCAACACTTCCAAATTGCTCAAAGTAGTTAACTCTATCAAACATAGAACATATTAAGTGTTGGGGCATTAAATCTCCTCAACTACAAGTCAAGATATTCTTTAATGAAATGAAAATCTATACCTTCAAAATTGTTTGAGTTCTTCAAAAAATTAGATGCAAGATCTAGGGATGTAAGAGATGGTAGCCCACCCAAGGATGGGAATTCTGTGAATTCATTTGGATATAAATTCAAATCTTGTAATTTATTCAATCTAAGCACTCCTTGGAAACCTGCATCAAAGCATAATCAAGTAATGTTCCTTCCTTTTGTTTCGGCATAAAATATTTTCTTATCATAACCTTTTTTTACAGAAAATAATTTCGGAAAGGGCAAATTACACCTGTACTTCCTGTATTTTGATCATTGTGTTATTTTGGTCCCTATAATTCCAATTGGCTAGATTTTAACGCTAAAATTATGACTCTATCTCAATTTAGTCCAATTGAATACAATTGTTAACATTTTTTAATGAAAAATACGCACATAAGTAGCATTTGTCATTATTTTAGGAGCAAAATTATAAGTTTGCTCAACTCAGTGAGTTAACCTCAATCAATTCAGTAATTATTTTCTATCAAAAATACCAACAACATTATCAATTGGATCAAGTTGATTTAAAATCTAAAATCGATTGTTAAAATTGAACCAATTGAAATTGAATAACCAAGATAACACAAGGGGCAAAATATAAGGAATACCAGTGTAATTTGCCCTTTCAAAAATGTTTTGCATCATTTTTTTTCTATATTTGATGGTGACCTCAAAATTAATATACTAGTGGTTCTATTCATGGTTGTGGTGGTTTTGGTGGTGGTGATAATGTCGTGGTGTTGATATGACTTTAGACCCCAAAAAAAATTCCACTGTACAAAAGTGAAAAATATTTTGCATCCCAATAAACTTGTTTTTTGTTCAATTTCATTTTTCATCATATAAAACTCCGGAAAATACTAAAAAATGTTTTTCACTGAAAAGTATGGGTAATATCAAAATGTGTTCTTGATATTACTTTTGGGTTGAGAGAGAGAGAGAGAGAGAAAGAGAGACTTTCAAGCCGTTCCAAGATAATGTTAAGACTTGCAATTCTGTGAAGGGAACAAATAATGAAGCATCCAAGGACGAATTAATCTGCTGGGGTTGTAGTTTGCTACTAAGAGAAAGTTTGATCACTCTTTTTGTGGCATTATCACACTTTACCTTCTTCCACCTACAGCAATCACTCTCTTCACCACCCCATGAACTACAAAATAACATATTCTTGAATGCATCTTTAAGTTTCAGGAGCCCAATCCTCTCTTCTTCCATGCATCCTAAACTTTCATAACTTTGAAACACAAGTACAACTAGAAATAGTGTTATCAACGTCCCCAAATACAATTTTGAACTACACTCCATGATCAAACTTAGTTGTCAATATTAATTGGGCATTGTATTGATATTTATCATAGTTGTTAAATCGAGATTTGTATCGTGAATCGAAATGACCTTGTACCGAATCGCGAATCGAATCGAATCATGAATCGTAAAGATTTGGTCACTTTTTAAAAATTACTTGAAAATATATATTTACATATTTAGATGTTAAATATTTTTTATGAATATGAAATATTTAGACTTAAATCAATGAAAATGTTATTTTGAGAGATAATCACGTAGTTTAATAGGTAAGAAGCTATCAAAGATTCTTATTTAAGATCACTATTTTACTTTTTTTTCTTTTTCGATATTTCTTATCAACCATTTTTAATAAAGATAATTACCAAATAGACAAATTATCAATTTTTCAAATAACAATAATTAACAACGATATTGATATTTGGACAATAAGCATACATACTTTTCTAAGTAACAGTGAGCAAATAATAAAAAAGAATTATTTAGAATGTTTCATTTTAAAGCCTAAAGCATTTTTAAATGTATAACTGACCTCACATATGTAATATTCAATTTAATAAAATAGTAATATATAATTTATAATGCAACTTTAATCTTAAACATTTTTAGAAGATATATTATGATTTTTTAAAGGGGGGAAAAATGAGAAGAGAGGTTAAAAATATGTTAGGTCTGACTGAATCTGATTGGATCCTATTAAAAACTTCATGATCACTAAAATAACAACAAATTATGTATCTATGTTGATTATTTTGGTATTAAACGCTATTAAAAGTTGTATTATATCATTTTCACTAAAAACATGGAGAAAAAAATAGTCGAAAATATGTCGGACACAATAATTTAAAAAATTACATGAATTGTAAAAAGTGAATTAAATTGTGAATCGATTGTGAATCGTGCGATTCACTAGGAATTTACTTCCAAAATAGATTCACCCATAAATTCGTATCAATTTTGCAAAAAATTCGAATCGAATAGCGAATCGTAAGATTCTGGTAACAGAGAGATTCACCCATAGATTCGTATCGATTTTGCAAAAATTATGAATCAAATCGCGAATCGAATCGAATCGTGAATCGTAAGATTCTGATAACATAGATATTTATAGACGTTCATCCACACTAGTTTATATTTTCAATATTGGGTTTAATTATTCATGGGGTCTTAATTCATCACATATGTTGTGCCATAACATATGTACAAAAAGTCCATGAGTCCATAATCTTAGACTAGAAAATTGGTATGTGACTGAAATCCATTCATGTATGTGGGACTCACACATGAAATTAATTTTAACCATCTAATGTATTTTCTTGATATTTTTCTGAGTTAATTTTAATAGTTATAGCATTTAAAAACAATAAATAATAAATGACGGTAAAAGACACGTCTAAGATATTTTGATTCTTTCCTTTTACCTATTGATAAGCATGATAAGAATTTATTTATTATTATTTTAACTTGATAAGAAATTTATAAATAAAATATTTAAGTTATGTTTGGTAATATTTATAGTTTTTCGGTTTTTGTTAAAAAAAATAAACATTAAACTTATTTATATTTATTTTTTTATAAAAATAAAATAAAAAATATATATTTGATATGCACATGTTTTAAAAATTTATTTAAAAAATATGTGACATTTCTGAAGGTGTTGATTCGCTGAAGGTGGTGATTGAAAGTGGTTTTAGGCGCGTTGGTGGTTGGAAGAGTTGGTAGCAGTGGTCAGGTGGCCCTGCCAATAGGATGGTTGCCAGTAGTGCAAAGTGTTAGTCAGGTGGTTGTCAGATTAGTCTCTGGCAACAATAGAAGAGAAGGTTGTCAACAATGGTGTCAAATGTAGTAATGAGCGATATATGGTAGCCGGAGAAGGTTAGAGCGAGAGGAAGGAATGAAAAATTAGTCTAAACAAGTGAAATTACTATTTGTGTTTTGGGAGAAGAAAAAAAAAATGACTCAAAGTTTCACCCTTGTAACAAAACAAACTTTACGTTTTTTATTTTATCAATTTAAATTTGAATTTGTTGATTTGTTTTCAATTTAAATTATTAACCTATTTTCATTACGTAAAACTGATGAAAAAAATATATTTTAATTAATAAACTGATGGAGGTGTATATAAAATGTCCAAAATACCCTTTTTTGTTGAGTTTAATGACTAAAGTATTTTTTGTAATTAACTTTACTTAATGAAAATAGACAGGTGATTTACATTGAAAGCAAATTAAAAGTATGAGCATCCAATAAGAGATTCTACAATTGCTAATAAGGAACAGTACCGTTCAGTCAGTCCAAATCCAACGACCAATTCTCAATATACAACTTGGCCACTATGATCTGATAATAGTATGACCATCCGATAAGAGATTCTCTGGTCCACAACAGATACAACTTGGCTAGTAACAAAAGTGACCTCTGACAAGAGGTTAGTCGTCCTATCAAAAGAAGATCAACAATTTACGATAATACCTTAATCAACTACAAAAAAGAACCATGTAAAGAAGAAATTCCAAAATTACTCATTTCATTTATATTATAAAGAATGTCCAACCAAATCATTGACTTGATCATTGGAAGGTCATCCTGACTTGTCTAGGTTGACAGTGATTAGTAATTTTGGTTTCTCTTGCAGATAAAAGAGTAGGCGAATCATCTCACTAATCCCGCATGAAGACAATTTCACCATACAAACATAATTTAGCCTTTAAACATTAGATTTTCATTTATGTTGTGTTTGATTAGGGGATTTGGAGAGAGATTTGGAAATAGAAAGGGAAAAAATATGTGAAATTATGTGAAATGTAGGTATATTTTATTCTCATTTCAACTATCTTTTCTCTTTTCCTTTTTAAATCTCTCTCAAATCCTCCAACCAAACACAGCGTTAGAAAATATAGAGAATCAAAATTTGTCAAATATTTAGAGAATGTATATCATTTTGTTGGGTCCATGGCTTATGTATCTTTTGTCTTTTTATTTTATTTATTGTTATTACTTTTTATTTTTTGTTTTTGTCTTTTTATTTTTTATTTATTTTTGGTTCGACTGCACTATCAAATTGATGTATGATTAATTCATAAAAATTGAGAATAGCAAAGTAGGAGAGAGGTTACAATGTGCAGTTGCACATTGTAGAAAAAATTATATGTTTTGTAAGAGAAGTTATATATTTTGTGAGATGAAAATTACGATTTTTATGATAAATGTTATGAATTTTGAAGTTATGATGTATATCTAAAAGTCATATATAACTAAAATAATACTTTTTGTGAGAGAAGTTATGCATATTGTGAGAAGTAAAAGTTTATATTTATTGTAATAAAATTTATGTATTTTGGGAGATAAGGTTAAAAAAAAAAATTAAAAAAAAAAATTTGTCAAAAGTCTTTGCAAAACGGACTCAGCACACATAATTTCATTTCGCCAGTCTTTCCATTAGAATCCTTTTTGTCAAGGCAGATACATTTGACCGTTCCGTCTATTTCGGCAAAATAATATTTTTTTGTATGTGGAAAATACTTTTCTAAAAATGAATGGTTTCTATCCAATTAGTTCACATTTGTTTTGGTAGGTCCAATTTAGATTCATGTTTGTTAATTCAACAGTAATAATAGAGACTTCCACAAAACACAATCTTTAAAATGATCTAAATCATTCATGTTACTGTCAGGCATAACTTTCCAAAAAAATTTAAACACATCAATAGTAGGGGTCATGGAGGTCCTCCTTTGTGGAGTCCCAAACATTTTCCGTAATTCAAATTATTTATTTATTGGATGGGAGGTTGTTGCCATGCCATAAGGCACAACAACCCTATTGTGAGAGCTTTTGAGAGTTTGTCTCAAACCTATTTTGATAATCTGTATTATTCATATTATAAAATTCGTCAAACATATGCAAAAAAATCAGGTTAATCAAACATATGTAACTCTATGATCAAGTCTTAATTATTTTTTTAAAAAAATGATCAAAATCATGCTAATTGTTTATTAAAAAAAAAAACAAATATAGTCTTGTTATGGGACTATAAATGTTCAAGTAACTTTTTTTTTTTTTTTTATGAATGATCTACTCAATTCATCCTGCAATAGGAATGATTCGAATAATCAAAATAAATTTGTGAATAAATAATTCATGCAAAAAACGATCCTTCCAAAAATCAAGTTATCCAATAGAAAAATGATATACCTACATAATTTTCATTCAAAATTTAAGACAAAAATGATATAGCCATGATTTTTTTGCAATTATGAATGACATTTTAACCTTTAATAAATGACTATAAATGAGACACATCATTAAATATCAATCTTTTATACACAATTTCTATTTGTATGGCATTGCACTATTGAATATTATTAATCACGTGATTAGATCACATTTATCTTAGACATAGATTCTTCATTGCTTTTAAGGCATGAGAATAGAAATTGCATTTCTTTTATAAGACAAATAGAAATAGATTGTTGATTTTTTTAAGACAAGTAAAATCTGATCATTAGACTACCAATGTCTGATCAATCTGATACTTTACATCAATTATCTTCTTAGCAGACCCTACAAAAAACAATAAATAAATAAATTCGTATTACTGGGGTGGACCCATGGTGGACCCACCTAGCTCTGATAGCACCTATCAACTCAAGTTGAGTCACCAAATGGAGAGAATCATAAGCGTTTTTTAAAAACATTTTTCATAGAAAACGTCTCTGTTTGATTGTGGTTTCGAAATGGATATACTAGTGGTTGTGATACTAGTAGTTCCAGTGTTCATGTGCTAGTAGTAATAGAAAATGGGTGCACGACAACAACAGTGGTGGTGTGGTGGCAATAGTGACGGTGATATTGTGATATTGTTAAAACTTTAATTCAACAATATTTTTACTTTTTGTATTTATTTGGTATAT